TTTTTTTTTTTTTTTTTTTTTTTTGGTACCGGGGATTGAACTCAGGTCCTTGTGCTTGTGAGGCAGGTGGCAGAACCACTAAGCTAAATTCCCGGCACTTCTCCTCCCTCTAAAAAAGTACTATTCTTAGAGATTGTCTTGAGTTCTCTTTTCTCTTCCAACAAGTCAGTAAAGCTGACTGATATGTGCTTTGCAGCAATCCTCAGAATCATCCTTTCTCCCTGCCCACTGCTCTGGCCCCATTATCTGGGCCTGAGTCAAGTTGAAAATAACACACTGAACGAGACCAGTGGCACGTGCCTATAATGCCAGCTACTCAGGGGCTAAGGAAAGTTTGCGAAATGAGTGAATGACTCCTGGAACAATGCAATGTGAATTTACTCTTCAGCTGAACTTTAACCTTTCTACCAATTTTTCTGAAGCCTTTAGAACACTCCTTTACTAACGAGTAGCAACCTAGATTCAAAGTCACTGTTTTCTCTTGGCCCACATTTTTTGGTCTTCTTTTGCCAGCTGCTCCAGTGCCCAGATGTGACGGCCATAGTGGATGACTTTGTCATCCACATTCTGGCCAACTGGTTCAACTGTAAGGAGCCAGCCACAGTGAAGCTTCTGCTACAGATGACAGAGGTCTTCACAAAGCACAAGAACCTGGTAAGATGTGGCAGAGGCCCAAGGGCATGCTCTCAGACGTTGTCACCTGGGGATGATACAGATGGGCCCAGAGGTCTGGTGCGTCCGCTGATAGATATTCTTTGAATCAAAGAGCAAATCCTCAAGAGGACCGTCCCTCAAGGACGGGGTCAGGGCTTGAGCCTTTCACTTTTCATCTTTCCTGGGAAGGACCCTCCAAGGAAGTTGTCCCATGGGTCATTTCAGAGATGAGGCCCAGCCAATCCTTGGATCCCAGACCTATCTTCGAGGCCTCCTGAAGACTGATACCATCATCAGGGATGGGAAAGGCAGCAGAGAGGGAATTTACAGAGTAGTGGAAGGAGGGGCATCCTCCATCTTCTCCCCCTTTCCCGTGGTGGGCAGAAGGTACCTGCCCAATGGCCCTCCCGGGAAGCTCCTTCTGCCAGCCATTCGTTGGCTGGACCAGTCCCAGTGCTCGGGTGGAAGTGAAAGAGCCCACTGACTCTCCTGTCCAGGGGACTGAGCCAAAGTGAGCTGTTTCCCAGATAGCCCCCACCGACCTGGCACTTCTGAGCTGCTCTTGTTCTGCAGGAGAGGCGACTCCACATCCTGAAGCCCCAAATACTGAATTGCTGCTACTCCTCCGATGGCGACATTGTGAAGGAGACTTTCCTGATGCTGAAGCACCTCGTGGAGAACCTCAGCTGGCAGTACTCCTCCTCCTTCCTGATTCAGCTCACCTTCACGCTGGAGCCCTTCTTCGAGGAGGTACAGTCCCCTGAGGGGCCACCCTTTGCCTGGAGGTGTCTGTGAAGCGAGGGGACCGGGCAAAGTTCTCTCAGAAGGCCCTCTGGCCTGACCAGGATGTTGTTCCATGGTGGCTGATCGCTTCTGGCCTTTTGTCTCGAGACTGAGCGGGATGAAGGGGCGCGAGGACAGACCACAGCTGCCTGGGAGGGTCACGCTGCCGCGGAATCCCAGCCGACCTTTGGGGGAGGGGGACACAGGCAGGAGCACGCGACTGGTGGAGGGGGAGCTCGGGGTGACCCTGCATGGCCAGCAGACAGAGGCACAGGTGTCTTCCCACCCAGGAATCCGAGCACCTGCGCTTGCTGGCCTTCCAGATCTACAGCAGTCTTCTGGCCAAGGTGAAGAGGAAGGTGCTTATCTTCCCCTTAAGGCACCAGATCCTCAACGTGATAGTCTTCCTGGTGTTGCACCTGCAGGATGTGAATTTGGACGTGGCTCAGGTGAGAGGCCCAGCCTGGGGCCTGGCGCTCAGCCCGTTCTGATGCTGAGCACGGCCAGCACATGGCCAGGGCTGCAGCAGACCTGTTAGACTCTGATCCCGGCGAGCATCAGTAAGAGGCCCAAGCTGAGCAGGTGCTGTACCATAGTTTCCTCCAGTTTCGGCTCCATCCAGCAGGCCGCCAGTTCCAGTAGGACATGGTGGGTGTGGACACTCGGAGGAGGACAATCCCAGGGACTGCCTTTGGACCCCATGGTCTTCCTCCAGGCTGTTTCTGCACCTGCCTTGCCACTGGGTAGAGATGGGGCTCCCTGGCTGGAGGCAGAACAGGGAGCCCAGGATGGGGGTGGGCCAGCTCTGAGCACCAAGGACTAGGAATGCATAGGGCAGCTGGAGAACCTGAAAACCAGCCGAGTCCATTTGCAACAGAGCACCGTGTTTGCGCTGAGTGGCTCTTTTGCCTTTTCTGAGACCTCTTGGCACACCAGCTCTAAAGGAAAATTATCCTTGTGGGGGTGGGGTTCCCCGGGTCACCTCCATGGTGATGTTCCTGACGGAGCCAGCCTGGAGTCACAGTCAGGACCGGGCTTTGGGGAGGTCTGTTTTCAGACACCATTTTGGTGGTAGCGGTGGGGAAGCCACGGGGCTGGCAGCTGAGGCTGTGAGGTCAATAGTCACTTAGTTCTGAGTCTCACAACCTGGAAAAGCCCACAGAACTGTAATTTTTTAACTGCTCCTTCATGGGAAAGAGGGCTTGTCAATGGATTTGATGACCTCTACCTTCCTTCTAAACCTGGTTGATGGTCTTTGCCTCAGTTTCCTTCCCACCAAGGCCAAAGGGGCTGCCATCTGGGTTCCTCATGCTGAGCTCTCTGCCTTCCCAGGCCTGCCAGGTCAGCCTCTGCAGCACAGCTGCCCTGCTGTGCTGGTCAAAGCTCAGAGAAGTCTTCACCAAGGAGGATGTTTTTACCATCATCGGGGCCCTGGTAAGCTGGCAGCTGACTGCCTGTGTCAGGGAGGGTAGAAGCCTTTGTCCTTCTCCTATAGCTGGGGGTTTGTGGCAGTGGCAAGCATTCAACGATGAGCTACTCTACTTTCTGCTGGGCACCTAGAAATGGTTTCTGCCCTCCTGTTGCTTCCCATCTACATCGAGGAGCTGGGCACACATGCTAATAATTTCAGAAAATTGGTCGTCGGTAATTGGTAAGGGCTGAAAAAGCTGACTGCACTTTCTAATACAGAGGAGGGGCACCCAGTCCAGTCCTGGAGGAGATGCCATCTTTGGGAGGAGCGTGGAAGACAGGCAGAGAGAGGGGTCGCGAGCACAGGCTGAGGTGACACCGTGCTCAGGCAGTGTAGTCAAGCACTTATTATGCCCGTGCCTTTGAACACCTTTTCCTGTAGAATTTGGATTTTTAATCACCTGAGAAATAAGGGCAGAAAAGCCCAGTACTGTAGGTGGGGGCTCTAAGTGGTTTGCAGGGCTGTGCAGACACCAACCAGAGAAGCAGCCTAGGGCCCCCGGGCCACCTTCTCAGCATGGTCTGGCACAGCACATCCTTCCTTGGTCTGGGACATATTTGGTTATACCCTCTTTACTACTCAAAAGGAAATTTATAAACAATGTCATCTACCAGTGCATATTTCCAAACTAAACATAATGCCCTAACTCCAAAGGACCAGGGAAAGTAACTTACAGTGAAGTAATATGCATAAGGATAGGTAGCACGATATAACAGCATAAAATCAATTGTGTACATGAATGCTTGGGCCCAGTTACTCTAAAAGGCATGAAACAGAAGCTGGCTTCCAATTCCTTACCCAGAATCACTGCTACAAACACAGAGCGACACCAGAGAGTTGTGTGGACATTCACTTACCACAGGGAATGTTGCCATTGGTGATGCCAAAGTAGTGAATAATTTTTGGTGGCTTACTGAACAAAAGGAAGTATAGCCTTGGGTTTATACTGTAGACATCCCTAGAAGCCCAGCATGTATTTGTTTGAACTGTGAAAAAGCACTTTGTATTATTACAGAAGGCAGAGTCAAGGTCTGAGCACAGTTTTGAAATAGGGTTTTCACTAACACAAATATGCAAGGAGATTACAAATCAGTGCACCCTCTGTCACTCTGATAGTCAAAAACAGACCCTACTATTCCCAGTTGAGAAGTAACTGGCTGTTTCTATGAAAGAAAGTGGCTTAGGGTTGCTAGTTATTCCAAATTGCTGAAAGACAGAAAATCCTGATTTTTGGTTGAAATTTTCCATACTTATGTTGGCAAATGATTTATAATGTGAAAGCTTACATGGACCAAACAAGATCTGCAGGCCGCTCTTGACCAATGGACAGCCAGGGTTCAGTGTGGGCAGGAGAGCAGAGCAGGAAGCCAGAGGCTGCACTAGGCTGGCATTGGAGATTTGGGCACGGTAAGGAGCAGGTCTTGGAGCTGTAGACCCTGGAAGCCACTGATGCATTTTAAGCGAGGAGGTTGCAAGGTTGGATAGTGCGTGCATTTTAGATAAATCAACAGGCTACAAATCAGAGGAAATTCACAAGGGGAAGAAGTGGAGGGCCCTAGAGAGATGACAAAAGTTGGTAAAGACAGAGCCATGGGGTATTAGCTGATTTGGAGTCTGATTTGATGTGGTAGGGCAGAGGTTGGCTCTTGGATTTCTGACCTGGTGTCTGTCCTGCGGGGAGGTCAGGGACACAGAGGGAGGGGCCGGTGTGGGGGAAGCTGGTGGGTTGATGTGTGCGTGTGGCGTTTGTAAAGCCCATGGCAACTCCAGGTGGTCTATCCCACTGGAAGTCAGATATCTGTCACCGAAGCTTGGAGAGCAAGGCTGTGCTGGAGATATGGACTGTGAACACCCAGCATGTAGCTAATTAATGGAAGTTGCGGCCATGAACCTGTCATGCTCCCAGCTGTCCAGGGAGAGAAGCACAGGCTTCAACACTGGGATCCCAGGAAACAGCTCCAAGGGTCCCACTGAGGAGACTAGGAAAGAAAATCAGTATAAAATCAAAGGAGAACAAAGAGGCCATGGCTGCCTAGGAAAGACAGCATCAGGCAGCAATCAGTGGCCATAGCGTGAGTCTAGGAGCGCGGAGACTGGCAGTGCTGACTGGTTTAGGATCACAGAAGCTGATGGTGACCTCTCCCAGGTCAAGGTCCGAGGTGATAGGAGGAGGGGACTGTGCCATAAAACTGAAGGAGTTCCCAGGGTAACTTCAGAAGTGGGAGTGGGTGAGCAGGTGGCCCAAGCTTGGCCGCTTCCACCCCGAGAGGCCCAAGTTTTGATGATGAGGGATATTGGGTTTCCAGCTCAGATATTTAGTTGGAGAAAAGACCCTGCTGCCAAAAAGTTGGAAAAAACAACACAAATATCAGCTCCCTTTTAAACGAACCTTGACTGCCGAGTACAAAGGAAAAATCAGATCATAGCAGGAAGGACATGCAGGGGAGGGGTTAAGGCTGTGGCTGTTGCAAGCAGAGAACCTTTAAGGGAGGAAGTCAGGATGGACTCAGAGAGGATGCAACCCTAGGTAAGGGAGAAAGGTGTGAAAACCCTGGATTACATGCAGCAGTCAGTCTACACAGAATGGTATAGACCAGACTGGGCCTTCTGCAGCCTTAAGCATATGCCCATGAGATTGAACATTTTAAGGCAACATAAAAATACACAGTATTTAAACAATGAAGTTCATTCTTCTACTATCAGGAATAGGAGAAAAACATGTGAGATCCAGACTGGGACAAATCTATGTGAGTTTCATGTTCCAACTGGGTCAAGAGCAAGAAAGCCACCCTGTGGCTTGGTAAATCCAGGAAGATTTCGTGCAGGGAATACGATTTCAGGAGCTGTGGTAGGACAGGTGGAGAGGGAGAAGGTTTTGGCAGACTTTTGCATGCAGTAGATAACCCCACTTCAGTCTCAAGACAGCCTAGGAGGCCGAAGCAGCGGCAACAGGTCCTTCTGCGATCAAACTCCTTTACAGCTGCAGCAGGAGACAAACAAAGCCCTCTGGTTTCTGAAGCAGTGCGTAGCTTCATTCAAGAGCACCCAGGTCCCCATTCGCCAGGCAGCTGTGTGGTTTGCAGGTATGGCTTTCACCTTTTTGGGGCCACTGTGTCCTTGATTGGGGCCCTTCAGTCTGAGTACCTGGGACCTGAAGACTTAAGGACAGGCCTCACGGAAATGATATAACCCATGGTAAACACACTAGGGAGCCCCTGCTTGGGTTGGGTGACCTTTCCCATAGCAGACGGGGCCGTCTCAGGAAGCCAGGGGAGCCCAGCTCTCCACAGGATAAAGCACTAAGGTCTGGGTGTTCCCTGCGCAGGATGTCAGGCAGGGGCACTGCTTCACGTTGCCCTGGGGACAAGCATCTTGGGAGGAGAGGGATAGCCACCATTTCACTTACCCAGTGAGCTTAGAACCCTTCAGGGAACCAGGGGAAATAATTCCAACTTTATGGGCAAAGTCCATAGGTAGAGGCCACGGGAGGGAAAGAATGGTGACTGTTTGGGAAGGGGCCACTCAGGTGGGTCTGTGCGTCCCCATAGGACAGATCCTGCAAACCCTGGACTTGGAAGAGATGAACGAAATGGAGGAGGCGTATGCGGGTGAGTGACCCTCAGCTGGTGGCTCTTAGGGGTTCTGGTGTTGGTGCGGAAGCCTTGGAAATAGGGAGAGTGGGTAGGTGGGCTTGCAAAATTATCATCCAGAAGGAAAGAAAACGAGGCTCCCCTCCAAGGCATTTAGGTTTCCGGGTGCTGGTCAGAGCCCTGCTGCCCCCCGTATTCACTCACTCAAATTGCTGTGGAGACTGTGACACTCATCGGCCAGGACAGATCCCGAACTCTTCCCGGGAGACACAGGGGCTCCTAGTGCCTCCCCTCGGGACCCCCAGAGCACAGGTGTTGTAGCCCACGTGTTCTCCACCGCAGCTCTGGATGTGTCCTCCGCACAACTTTCCCTTTCCTCTGCCTCGCCTCTCACTGTGCTGTCTCCCTGACCCTGGCTCCCAGGTGTAGCTTCAGCCCTGCCTGTCACTCTCTTGGAGGTCGAAGGACTTCACTAGACCTATTCTGTGGAGGAGGGCAGAGCCCAGGAAAAGGAAAGCAGGGAGGTCCAAGGGTGTTGGTGATGGATACAGGGCGAGGGCAGGTGGCCTTGTTTTGCCCTGAGCCTTCTTGTAACTAAGCAGGACACCTAGAAGAACTCTTGTTCATATCTTAGACGGTCCCAGCCCCATCCTATTTCCCTCTCATCCCTCAAGCGGGGCACAGGCCCTCCCCACCCACCTCACTGCCAGCTCTATAGCAGTGTCTGTGTTATAGCCCTGAGGCACATGAGGAGAGACCCTGATCCCATGGTCAGCTGCCTTGCCATGCAGACCACTCACGTCCTGGAAGCTAAGGAGAAGCTGCTGTTGGCCAAGCCCCCTATTTCCTGCCTCTGTAGGAGGAGACCCCAAAGGGGCCACTTATGAGCCTGCATCCTTGGGTTGAAGCTGAAGGCCTGGGCCCAAGACTGACAGTGGCCAGCCTCTTGAGGCCTGCAGCAGAAATGCTCTGGCTGCTCTAATAAAAGGAGAAATCCTGTACTTCTGTGGCAGTAGATGCCAATTCTTGGCTGTCTGGGGTAGAGCCATGTGTTGTGAGCCAGATGTTCAGCAGCAAACATCTGGGTCCAGGCTGGCCTCGCCCACACTGCTCTCTCTGCCCTTCTCCCATTCAGCCCAGTGATCTGAGCCCAGAGAAAGCAGTTTCTTTTGAACCAACTTGAAGTATAAACTCAGAGTCAGTCTCTAGACTTCAGCTGTATTGGGCAGTGTCTATATATATATATATATATTTTTTTTTTTCATTGTACTGGAGATTGAACCTAGAGCTTTTGCACTGAGCGATACAGTCCTATTTATTTTTATTTTGCGATAAGGTCTTGCTAAATTGCTCAGGCTGGCCTTGAACTTGTGATCCTCCAGCCTCAGCTTCCCAGAGTGCTTGGATTATAGGCATGCACTGCCACACCCTGCTCTGGGCAGGGTCCTTTTTTTGTTTTGGTCCCGGGGATTGAACTTGGGACCTTGTGCAGGCTGTGGAACCACTGAGCTAAATCCCGGGCCGCTGGGCAGGGTTCTTAGAGGTAAATAATGGAGTCTGCTCTGTTGAGTTGAAACAGGAGTGATTTAATAAAGTGCTATTAGCCAGCTCACAAAACTACCTGGGGAGATCAGAGTTTGGCTACCACAAAGCTAGGAATAGGGTGGCTCTGTTAGTACCACGGCTGTCCCTTCATTCAGCCCAGACCACAGCCCAAGGGACTGTGCTCAGGCCTGGACTCCGGGCTCGGTCACTGTACCTCTAAAGAACCAGTGTCCAGTGCTATGGGACCTGTCCACACCTGCTCTCTCCTACTGCCTGTGGGAGTCAGCCTGAGCCTGGCCCTGGACTGCGGTCCCCAGATGTCTCTGGATCTATGCAGGCTCATTCACTGCTCCTGTGACCACCAACCCTCCTCTTCCCCTATTAGCCTGTTATCCCTGACCTTTCCTCACTGGGCCCCAGGCAAGACTCACAGGACTGTAGCTCAGTGTTCCAGAAAAAGACAGGCTCCCCAGGGTAGACATGCGCTGACCTGGCTGGAGCTCTGTCCTCTGCGGTACCTGGTCTCTGTCACCTCCCCGAGCTCCTGCCCTTCTTGCTCTCTTCCTGCCTTTTGCCTTCCTCTCAGCATTGTCAGCCTGGGCCCAGCAGAGAGGGGTGCAGGGTACAGCTGCTGGGTGCAGCTCCATGGTACAGCCTGTGCAAGGTCCTGGGCTCAATTCCCAGCATCAGAAAAGAAAAGAGAGAGAGAGAGAGAGAGAGAGAGAGAGAGAGAGAGAGAGAGAGAGTGTGTGTGTGTGTGTGTGTGTGTGTGTGTGTGTGGTGGAGGGAGGGATATAGCTTTTGAAAGACTAAATGAAAATCACGACCATTACCGAGATACTTTCTGATAGGAGCTTTTTATATTTGTTTTCGCTCTGTAAGTGGTAAGGGAACTAAACGTGTGGCACGCACTGCACACATTTAATTCCCAGCTGTAGAGAAGACACCATAGATTAGTGGAAGAAAACGAGGCTGCGGCTGGGCAGGGTGGGTTCAAATCTGGCCTCTGTCCCTTCTAGCTGTGAACCTGGAGAATTAATTCACTCCCGTTCTAAGACGTTTCTCATTTCCTAAGACGAAGATGTCATCTGCCCCGAACAGTGCCTGGGATAGACAGGTGCTTAGTCAACGCCTGTGCCTACCCTCTGCGCCCACGCTTACTCTGGCCCCAGGAGGCCACATGCAGAGTCTGGAGGGGAAATGGACACTCAAAAGCTCTGCTTCCCAACTGTGAAGCCCCAGACTCACAGCCCAGGGAGTTCACATTAGGCTGGACCCACCCACCGCCACCACTGCCAATTTCCCACCCTGAAGGAGGGCCACCAAGCCATGGTATAGCAGCCTTACGGGGCTGTCCCTCCACAGAGAACAGTCATTCAGGATTTATTTCTGACGATTTCTTAGAGCACACACATTCAATCTAGGAACAGAAATGTACAGCAAGAGGCTTAAATAACTTTCATACACTATGTACAGTCTTCAGCAGAGGTACAAAACTTATATACACCTTGTGCTAGCCACATCTCAGAGGGGCACGTGAGCCTGGGCAGGGGCAATGGCTAGAAAAGAGCTGGTGGGCAGGCAGGGCCCCATCGCTTCAGCGTCTGCTCTTCATCACGTAGTTTCCACTCCCTGCACCTTGGCCAGGGCCTTGGGACACACACGTGAAGTACTGAGCTGGGGTGTGGTGGGGGCTGGGAGCTCATCTGAGTGCTGGAGGTAGAAGAGGGTGGGCATGGAGGACAGAACACAAACGCCAAAGAGAGACAACATTCCCCGCAGATTCTGCTCTGCAGGGCATGATGCTTCGGGAGCTGGGAAGGGAAGGCCAGGCTCAGGAGGCCTGTGGGGGTACTGGCCATCGAGCACGAGGAGTCCGTGCCCAGCAAGGCAAGCAGCAAGCGATTTCCTGTTTGAGATGGCAAAGGAACAATGCCACAAGTTTGGGCTTTGCAATGGAAAGGAATTCACTGCTCCTGCCAGGCGGGCCCTGCCCACAAACATACCAGGCCGGGGCAGGGTCTGAACAGCCAGGGGGTGTACCTGTGCCCAGCCCAGCCCCCAGTGGGGTGGCTTCTGAGAGTTAAGAGAAGGCAGGACAAAGGGACACTGTGTCCCCCGACTTCACAGCAGCTGCCCACTGTCTCCCCCTTGTAGGTGGCACTCGAAAGTCCAAGCGACTTAGTAGCTTCACTGCAGTGGTTTTGTGCTTTAAGCTGCCCTGTGGCCAAGGGCACATAGCCCCAGGCGGGCAGCAGGGCTGGACAAGGGAGGGCAAGGAGCGTTTCCAAGGCGTCAGGTGGGCCGAGGGTGGGTGGGAGGCCGCTCTCATCTCCACAGCTCTCTCTCTGCCTAGTGGTGGCGACCTGACCACCTCAAGGCCTGGCCCTGCAGCCTTCACCCCTCTCCTCCCCAGCAGTCTGCAGAGGTGGCTCCCAGTGCAGCCTCAGGGAGCAGTCACTGGACTGAAAGCAAACACTGAGCTGGCTAATACTGAGAAGGAAGCCCTGTTATAGGACCACGTTGAGAGGCCAGAGGGCAGTGGAAGCCAGTCGGCTCCAAAAGCAGGGACAGGGCCTGGCTCAGGAGACAGTGAGTCCACACGGGCTCCGGGGGTCGTATCAGTCAGCCTGTGTTCAGGCACTGGGGGATGCGAGTGTGGTCTCGGTGTGCTCTGCTCCCAGGGCCCACGGCATACAGATGTGACCTGGGCCTCGAGCCTCAGGGTGGGGCTCTGGTAACATGAAGAGCCCCAGGATTCGGAGAGCCCTGCTCTGAGCAAGGGTGGTTTCCTACCCTGAGAATGGCAGCCCTGTCTAACTTGGGACCTGGCCAACCTTTGAGGAGGCTCCTGGGTCCCAGTCTGTCCTCACTGCCTGCTGAGAGCCCCGCCACTGTGCTCAGATGGCAACTGGTTTGCTTGTGCTTCTGACATGCAAGATGCTTGTGCAGGATGCAGGGTGGGCGGAGACCCCAGTGCTCCTACAGCACAGCTTAGAGCAGCTCGGGATGACAGGCTCAGGGGTCCCAAAGGACTTCAAGTTTTGAGTCAGTGACACTTGCTGGGACAGGGAAGCCAGCCCTGCTGTGAGGTAGTGACCCATGAGACAGCAGACAGTGGGCAAGGATGGTGAGCACCTCTCGAGGCCGTAGGACCACACCTTGTGCAAGAACAGACCTTGAAGCTACAGTACAGTGACCCAGCCCATGGGGTGGGGTGGGGGGACGCAAGTCTCAGGTATTTCTGTAGTTTGTAAACAGTCATGCAGATGGGTCATTCTTACAGGATGCAAGGAAAAAGCCTTCTGTTCAGGTGAGAAGGGCTGGATGAGTCAGGAAAGGAGCCTGATGGTCACTTCCGTGCTCTGAGGGAGTTGCCTAACAACTCTCAGGTGGCCAGAGGAAGAAGGGTTTATAGTCAGTGCAGAGAGACCATTCCGGAGTGTTCCAGAAGACCAGTACTCGAGGAGGGTTGTCCCAACATTGGCTCACCAGACCTCACGTCACGACCAGCAGGGGCCACACACAGGCAGGAGGTCCTCTTCAGCCTCCGAGGCAGCTCCAAGGAGGGAACAGGCTCCACACAGCCTTCACTGGGGCCTGACCTTCCCACGCTGGGGAGGCTCCGAGGGCTACATATACAGGAGCCGAGGACAGAGACAATGCCACTGCTGGAAAGTCTGAGAGTCACTATGTCCTCTCAGCACAGTGGGGATTCCTGGCTTCCAGACTGAGGCTGAGAAGCACAAGACCAGTGTGGAAAAAGATTGCGGACAGGCTTGGGGGGAAGCCTTGGGTGAGGGAGGGAGGGGCCCCTCCCGAGACCAATGCCTGTAAATCCAGAGTTGTTCCAACAGGGGGCGCCTAAACACAGATTTAGCCCATGCTTGGAGCTCTGAGGCCATAGCCCCAGGGGAAAGGAGGCTCCACTAACAGACACGTTTCCTCACCGCTAATCTAAAAGGATTTTGTACTATGCTGGGTTTAAGGCTTGAAAATGTGTCTCTCAAATAACCATGAGAAAAAAGCTGACGAGACTCCCTATCCCACTTGAGGATGAAAACATGGTTGACCCAAGACGCCTAGCAGACAGTCCACTAAGCTGCTTTCTAAGTGACCACTAGACTCTGGGGGATGGGGCTCCCTGGCCCCGGGCTGTGGGGGAGCTCCCCCATCTTCCAGGGGCAGAGGGCATGAGATCCCGGGAGAAGACACAAGTGGCACTGCGGGCATGGCTGGTGTAAGGCTGCCCAGCAGGGGGCCAGGCCTGGGCTGAGGAAGGCACTGAAGCATTAGTGGCCGAGTTGGCTGGGGTGCATGAGCAGGATCCCCAGGGGCAGAGTCAGGGCTAGGCTGGAGCTGCAAAGTGTGGAAGCAGGTATTTCCCTCCTCTGCAGGGCAAAGCAAACAGAGGAGGTGGCCCTGAGCGCCATGGGGGCAGACCCCTAACAGCTGAGGGACAGAGTCTGTGGGAAGAAACTTCAAGTCACTTTCCAGGAGGCAACAGGAAAAAGTGATAATAATAAATAACTGAAGAATTCCTGACCATCTCGCCAAGGGGGGGTCTTTCTAATAGCTCCTCCATGGCCCTGTCAGAAAGGGCCACCCATCAATGGCTGGGACCCACTGGAATTAGCCGTTGGTGGACACAGGGTTCGGGGTCAGCTGCCTACACCTGATCTCCATGGTTACCTGAGGACTACCTTGTAGGGTCAGAGGCAGATGCAGTGGCTCCAGAAGTTGGGCCGGGGACATGGGGGAGGCTGGGTCATCAGAGGGGCACCATGGAGCTAGGGCTACTTTGCCTTCCTATAGGGTCCCAGCCTGGGACAACAGTGAGGAGGACAGGGCAGCCGGCTGAGCAGGAAACACTGGCCGGCTGGGGGGAGGCCAGGCAGTGGCTGGGGAGAGAGAGGAGGGGATAATGCCTTTGGCTTCACAGCTTAACTCCTCCCCAACCTCTCTCTCACCAGGAGGCTCCCAAGAGGCAGGGGAGGGATAGAGGGAGCAGGGTACCGTAGGAAGTCCAGGGAGAGGAAGCGGAGGAGAGGGGCCACACCCTCTGTCCCCGTGCAGCTGCCCATCCGGTTGGCCACAGGTTCCGTTGCATGTCACGCAGGCTGCTGGGGTGGAGGGTCCGGGGTCCCTCTGACCTAACGCCGAGGGTGGGTCTCCGGTAACCGCCGTATGCCCCAGAACTTCACCGTCAGGTCACTGGCAGGGAGGACAGAGACGGAGCTGGTCAGCTCTCCAAGTGGGCCCTGATGGCTGCCCCGAAACATAAAGGACGGGCTGATTCCCCTCTTCCCACATGTGGCAGGGGGTGGAGAGGCAGGCACTGCTCAGGGAGGGCAGACTGTGGGGTAGAAGTGTGCTGGGCCAGGGGAACCCAGTGGGGTCCTTCTCCTGGGCTTTCCTTTTGCTGTTTTATTTTTTTGTCCAGGCCTGAATACTCCCCTCCCTCTGCTTCCTGCTACCGGTGCCCCTCTCCACTGTCCATGCTTGGAAGAGGGCAGGTAGGGCAATCTCTCTGGGCCAGGCAGGACATGAAGGGAGAGTAGGAAGAAAGTAAAATAATCTCATACCGTCAAGAAGCAGCTCAGATCGAAGAGGGGAAAGACAGGGAAGAGGAAAGAGGGGAAGAGCGAGAGAGGAGGTGGGGGACAGTGGGGAGGGTCAGGGCAGGGTGGTGGCGCGGCCCTTTATGGCCAGGACTCGGCGAGGAAGGCAGGGGGTGAGTCCCGGGACGTAACTCCACAACTTTACACGGCAGTCACTGTGGGGGGAGAGAGGCGGAGAGGCAGAGAGGAGAGGAGGAGGACACGGGACGGGGCAGAGGGGAACGAGGAGGCAAAAGAAGAAACCGTCTGAGTAGCACCCTGGGGACTGAGGGCCTGGGTGCTGCCTGCACAGGCGACCAGATGTGGGGCTCAGGAGCTGTGGCCTCAGGGTGGCAGGGCTGCTCGGGTCTGAGAGCTACCTGGACGGGGTGGGACAGTGTAGCGTGGAGACCGAGGGAGAGTCCTGGCCTGGGGCCCGGCAGTTCCCTGTTCCCCTGACTGTCTCAGGGCCCGCACACTGGCCAGGCACAGGAAGGAGGCCTCCCCACTGTCCTACCCACCCTAGGGAAGGGCTGGGAGCAGAGGCAGCCTCCCGGGCAGCACCCACCTGGAGGCTGTGAAGATGTGCTTGGAGTTGGTGCAGATGGCGTTGATAGGGCTGTCGTGGCCCTTGATCTCCCCGATGGGTGTGAAGTTGTCTACGTTCCAGACCTTGATGACGCCCGCGCGGCAGGCGCTCAGCAGCATGGGGCGGCCCGGGACAAAGGCCAGGGCACACACCCAGTCCTTGTGTGCATTGGGGATTTGCTGCAGGAGGGAGGATCAGGGCTGGCAAGGGGGCTGGGGACACGAAGACGGGGAGGGACCAGTCCTGGGGCCTCAAGAGCACACTAGCTGGAGGGCTGCTACCAGGCTCCCCAGACTCCCCAGTGACCATGGAGTCAGGCCTCCCTCACCGGCCCCAGGAGGCAGTCTGTGCTTTAGGTCCAGAGACAGGGTCTTCTCTCCTGGCTCCAGGTTCAAACCTAAGCCGACAGCCCTCAGACGGATCAGGCTAAAACAGAACTGCTCTTAGGAAGGGCACCTGTGGGCTTCACTTTCAAACCCAAGGGCTAAGAGCAAAGCCTTTGCTGAGAGCAGGTGTCAAAGGGGACCTACAGAAGCAGGGGAGGCTGCAGGGCATAAGGGTGCACTTGGGGGGCTCTGGAATCCAGAGCCTGGGGCTTTGCCCTACCTGGACGAGCTCCTGCTGCTCCAGGTCCCACTTTTTGATGCCGTTGTCCCGGGAGCCACTGAACAGGATGTCTCCCTGGATGGCCAGGCACTCGATGCCATCGTAGTGTGGGGGCTCAAAGTTGTGGGTGGGGCCGATGGTGCCCGTCACACAATCCCCCAGCTGGAACATCTGGGGAGGGGGTCAGAGGCCAGGCCTGGGCACTGTTGTACAAACACTCACCACAGTTCTGCCACCCAATTCCCTTCTTCTAGTTCCTAACCACACAGTTTCCACCTACGCCACCAGGCAGCGAACTGAATTAGTGCTGTTTATATACTTTGCCCTTCCCCCATGTATCTTTCTTTTGTGTGTGTGTGTGTGTGGTACTTGGGATTGAACCCAGGGCCTTCATCCTGAGCTAAATCCTCAGCTCTTTATGTTTTATTTTGAGACAGGGTCTCACGAATTCACTAAATTGCCCAGGCTAGGCTCAAATTTGTGATTCTCCTGCCTCAGCTTTCCAGAAGTGCTGGATTACAGGTGTGCACCACCATGTCCAGCTACTTATTTATCATTTTAAGAGCTGACTTTCATTGTGTTCTGTGGATTTTCCATCTACACTTCGACATTGAGGCTGTTTCTAGTTTTTCTGCATTTACAATGCAGCGCTGTACTCTGTAGCTCTCTGCATGCACCCTCCTGCCTTCTTTGGGTTCTTTCTTCAGCAAAAATCCCCAGAATCCTAGTTATTTCCATGAGTCCTCCCAAGGCAACGAAAGATAAAGGTGGAAGACAGTGGAAGAAACGACCCTCAGCCAGGCCGCGGGGCAGAGAGTCCTCGGGTACCTTAACGTAGTGGTCCTTAGAGCCGGTCACCACGAGGTCCTGCTGGTTGGCAGTCTGGGTGACCGTCAGGCACATCACAGGGCCAATGTGGCCAGTCAGCTTGCCGATGGGCTGGAACCTGCAGTGGGAGAAGGCCAGCAGGGGAGATGGGTTGGGGAGACCCCAGGTGAGGGGGGCATCTGTCCTGGAACAAATGGGCCTGGCCAGAGTCTCCCCATCCCCGAAGGCAAGATCAAGAACCTAGACATCAGCTTCCCAGAATCCCAGGGGAGTCCAAGGAGGCAGCTCGGCAGCATGGAGGACTGAGGCAGCTGAGGCCCTGCCCACCCTGGGGTGGGTCATCCACCTCTGAGATCCAGGGACCTCTGGGCACCTGTCTGCAGACAGGCCACTGACCTGCTGAGCTCCCAGATGCGGACAGCATTGCCTGCGGCAACATAAAGCATGGTGCCCGAAGGGCTGAGGGCCATCTGGTTGATCTGGTGCTCCCCCTGGGCACTGGTGATGGCACGTGTGGACGTGGCAGCACAGGCGTCGCCTGAGATCACCTGGCCTGAGGACCTGCCCAGGGGAAGAGGCAAAGCCAGAGGTGAAAACAGTCCCTTCCTGTGGACCAGGAAGCTTGTCAGACCACTCAGACCAGCCCCGATGACCCACTTGCAGGAGGCTACCCTGACTGACAGAGGACCCAGGGACGAAAAGGAAGGTGCCACTCTGCTCCCTGCAGGGGTCCTGAGCAGGCGTGGAAAGACTAAGGTCAGGGCAGGGCCTGCATCTTATGAAATCACTTAACCTGTCTTAGACTCTTCGTCTACAAAAAGAGGCAATAATGCCCATTTTTCCTAAGGTGTCTTTTTTTTTTCTTTTCTTTAAGAGCAGTTTTGCTATACAGAAAAACTAAGCGGAAGATACAGGCATTTCTGTTTACCTCCTTCTCCCCAATATGCACAGCCTCACCTGCTGTCAAATTCACACACCACAGTGGCACATTTGTGGAATCGACACGGACACATGGACATCACCCAAGTCCGTCACTGACACTGGGGCTCGCTCTTGGAGTTGCACGTTCCATGGGTTCAGACACATGACCAATGCCATTATCTGCCATTACAGATAGCATCATACAGCATAAAATACTGCCTAAAAAAATATCCTCTGTCTACTTCTTGAGGATCAAATGAAATAAATTTACCAAGTCTGTGAAAGACAAAACGTGACTTTTGCAGGGGATCTTGCTCCCCCTGCTTCCTGGTGCCTCTTTCAGGCTTCTAGGCTCACATCTAGCACATCTCAAGAGAACAGGACTTGGGGTTCTGGGACAAAGGTGGGGGTCAGGCAGGGCACAGGCTCACCATTCTGCCGCCTCAGATACCGTCCCCTAAACCAAGGGATGTCGAACTCAAGGCCAGGCTGGACTCTGCCTAGTGGATCACCTGGGCCCAGAAGTGCTGCCCCTAAAGCAGCCTGTTACAGCCCAGCACGGGGCAGGCCGAGGGGGTGGGACTCTTACGTGAGGGTCCGAATGCACTTGGCCGAGTCCCGGATGTCCCACACCTTGATGTAGGAGGTGGACACGGAGAAAACAAGCCCTGAGTGGCTGCAGTACTTGATGGAGACCACATTGTTGGGGTGGCCCTTGAGGGCTGCGATCTCCTGGCCAGTGACCAAGTTCCACATCTTACAGCTGCGGTCTGTGGGAGATGAGGCGGGAGTGAATCAGCCTGCGGGGGCAGGCAGCGCGCCCCACAGGGCTGTTGGGTGAGCAGGGAGGGACAGGAGAGCTAGGGGCGGAGGCTCAAGTCTGAGGGAGAGAAGATCACGCCCAGGAGTACTCACAGTGAACTCGGGGAAAGAGTAAGTCGGTGAGAGGTTAGGGTGAGGTACATGAGCACTGTCAAGGTGTCCTGGGCTTTTAAAGTAAAACTAAGCCTCTGGCGCTGCTCCTACAAATGCTAATACTGATGAACGGAACAAGCAGATCTTATGGGAAACCTCAGAATCAGTCAATTACATGCTGACCGACAGCTACCTCTCCTGCTGGGGAGAATGACAAATGCTTGTGTTTCTATAACCTGTGTCTATTACACACTTGTTCTTTTCTGCCGGTCAGATTTCTATTTCTTCTTTTTCTTTCTTTTGGTACAGGGGATTGAACTCGGGAACTTGTACTTGCAAGGCAGGTGGTAGCACAACTGAGCTAAATCCCTGGCCCTTTTTCTTTCTTTTAGTATAGAGAGATACTGAGGATTGAATACTGGGGCTCGCTATCCCTGAGCTACATTCCTAAGATCCCCTCATGCTTTATTTTGAATTTTGAGACACAGTCTTGCTACACTGAGCAGAACTTCTAACCCTCCTGTCAGCCTCCCTCAGTGTTGGGATTCTGCTGGTCATGTCTCTGACAGTACTGCTGTAACTTAGCAGAGGACTCTGGGGGCTGTGCTGTCAACCTGCTTAGCTGAGGTGCTGGGTGATGGCACTGGGGCTGTGGTGTTGGAGGACTCAGATGAGCAGAGGCAGGATGGGCCCCTGCGAACTTTCTAGAGAGGCCTGGCAGGAAGTGCTGGGTGGAGACAGCCGGGCTGGTGTGAGGAAGGCTGGGCCAGGCTGTGTGGGGTGGGGGTCCAGAGCCATGGCAGAGATGAGGGTGGAGCAAGTTGACCGCCTGAGCCACAGCTCCTGGGGCTCTGTGTTCTGTCTCTATCACAGCCCGCTCAGGCAAGGGAAGTCTGGGTGGTTGGGAGATCCTGAGCCTACCTGGCCTCTTGGGGCTCCACGCACCTTTGGACCCTGTGAAAAGCAACTCGTCCGTGGCATCCAGGCAGAGGATGGGCTTGGTGTGGCCCTCGGCCACAGAGACGCATTGCAGTGGGGCTGTCCGCGCACCCTTCGCTCCGCCAACCGGGGTGATGATGCCCCTTCCCAGGAGAGAGGGAGAGAGTACAGTCTTGAGCCAGGGACACCATAGCCAGCCTTAGGGAGGAGCACGGGAAAGGGTCGGGCAGAGAGGGACAAAGGCCTCATACTGGAGACTCCAGGACCTCTGGCGAAGTCTGATGAGGCCCAAGAGTGGGAAATACTGTGCAGGGTAAGGCCAGCCAGTCCTTCTGTTGTTACAGTACTGGCGATCAGATGCAGGGCCTCTACACTGAGCTATAGCCCCAGCCCTTTTTCATTCTGAGACAATGCCTTGCCAAGTCAGTTAAATCGCTCAGGCTGGGCTCAAATTTAGGTCCTCCTGCCTCAGCCTGTCAGAGTACTGGGATTATAGGTATGTGACACCATACCTGGCTGAGGGCCTGTGATTACAGAAATCTGTTCTATCTATCTGTCTATCTATCTATACACCTATTTATTTTTTGGTAACGGGGAACAAACTGGGGACCTTGCACTTGTGAGGAAGGCAGTGGCACCACTGAGCTAAATCCCTGGCCGTATTTATTTATTTATTTATTCATTCATTCATTCCAGAACCGGGGATCGAACTCCGGACCTTGTGCTTGTGAGGCAGGCACGGTGCCACTGAGCCACATCCCCAGCCCCTGTAGTCACTGCCTTGAACACTTATGGGGAATAAGCCCCATGCAAGGGACAGCTGGAAGGAGGAGCAGGCATGGGCCCTTCACACAGAGTTCCTATCTGATGACACTGGATCCAGAAACCTGAGACAAACGCACCCAGGCCCCAGTGGGAGGGCACAGACCCAAGGACCGGAAGCAGCCGCTGCAGTTCCCATCAGCGTGCTCATGCTGTTCCTGTCAGGAGTAGGAGGGGCGGGGAGGAGGGTGCTCACAGAACAGACACCCTGACCACCACCATCTCTCCATTTCCTCATGACTGCCTCTGGGCTGTGTCTCCCAAGTGTGAGACCTGCACGCACACACGCGCGCACACACACACACACACCCCGCAGGCCCCTGCAGGACCAGCATGGTCAGACCCATGTCTGCTATTTACAAAGGGACAAATCCCTTTCAGAGCTCCTGCTCAGCCTGGGGTTGGGAGGCAGGGGCCTCAGGAATGAGGCTTTCTGGGCCCAGAATGGCTCCCCTTTGTTCCCCCACAACTCTGAGAGAAAATGAAGATGAACCAAGCAAGCAAGGGTGAGGACTTTCTGACACTTGTTTCCTGAAGGGTCTGTGGATTTTTTTTTTCTCAGTGAGGGTCTTTTGGAATAAAAGCCTGTCTGGGTTATGTCTGAAAATCTAGTTCTTTTTCAAAGGCAATGCTGTCCCTGACAGAGACACTATGGCTAAAGGTTTAGAAGTGACCAGTGTCCACTGTAGGGCTTTCACAAAGGGCCTGTGGACTTGGCCAGGCCACCTGCTGGCAGCCTGGTATTGCACAACAGCTCCCCAAGCTGGCCCTGCTCCCCAGTGCTTCGGGCCATCAGCCTGAGACTGCTGAGGACATGTGGAAAAAAGCACACTGCCTCTGAGCACAGCCATCTCGTGGTGGCTAATACTCCTGGTGGCAAAGCCTCACTGCATGGGGGGTAAACAAACACCCACCCCAGGCTGGAGCACAGAGCAGAGTGATGCTGTAGGTCTGGCGAGTGCACAGCCCTCAGATGGCCCTTCCTGCTCGGGCGCTCGGGCCCTGCAGGTTCTGGCTGGTCCTGCTGTTGAGGGTTGTGCTAGGCTGGCTGGGGACACTGGCCTCTGCTCCCACAGGCTGGGCAGGGAGGGGACGCCCGCATATCTCTGTGCCAAGGGATGTGGGCAGGAGGTACTGTCCCCTGGGTGGCCACCACAGGGCCTGAATCTGACAGGCTCACCCCACTGGCACAAGCTAAGTCACAAGGACCCTGAACAGTCACTAAATCACCCTACACCTCTCCAAGGAACAGTCACCTAGCTGGTGCTGTGGCACCCAGGCCTTTCTCCCACCCTGGGACACTCAGCATAGCTCAGCTCCGGCCCCAGCCACCCCAGGCTTCCACACTCCGCTCCTCCCTGCCCAGGCCAGGAGGGAGAAGAGAACAGGGCCAGCCACAAGCAACTTCACCCCCACCCCAAGTCCCCAGGCCTGGTGCAGTCAAAGGCCACGCGGCCAGCCGCCTTGAGCAGGAGGAACCAGGGCAGGAAGAAGCGTCGGGAGGGGCATGAGGGACAGGGAGGCAAGGGCTGGGAGAGGAGGGGCCGCATGCTGAGGACAGGTGTACAGGCGGGGGGGTGCGGTGCAGCGAGGGAGGCAGAGAAAGAGAGGAGAGAGAGAGGAAGACAAAACACGAGAGACATTCTGTGTGTACCTCAGGACCTCCGACAAAGAGGAGTCGCTGTCATCAGACCTGGGGAGGGCAGAAAATTAGCTGGATTAGGGGAGAGAGGAAAACACACAGGGGTGGCAGAGGTGGTGTTGGCAGCAGCAGCGGCAGGGAGGTGAGAGGGCGGTTATTCCCATGGAGGGGCGGAAGAGGCAGGGGAGGAGAGCCTCCGGGGAGAGCAGGGGAGGAGGTGGGTGCGGACAGGCTGGCCTGGGAGCTGCGAGACTCTCCCAGGAGTGAGCCATGGGGCCCCTCAGCTAGCAGGCTGGGAGCAAGGAAGGTCACAGGAGACAGGGGAGAGCAGCCCTACGCTAGGGGACATTGTTCCGGGCTCTCTGCTGGTTCCAACCTCTCTGGCTGCCCCACCCCAGCAGTGCTAGTACCTGCCTGAGCAGGAGGAAGCCACAGCTGCTTGTACCCTTCCCTAGGAACTCGCTTCTTCCAGTAGTTCCTCAGGGCCCACCAGTTTCCAAAGCTCTCTGTCCCCAAAGGAGGCCACTGGGACCAAGCCTAGAAGCCAGCTTTGTACCACTCATGGGTCCCCAGATCTAGGCCACTGGATAGGACCAAGGAGATCACCAGGCTGGGATTCCAATCCTTACAAAAAAGGGAGCATGCCTGGAAGCTGTAAAGGCACGGGCGAGAAGGACATCCTGATGAGAGGGCCAGGCTCTGTCTACAGCTCCAACCAGAGGCAGAGCTGAGACGGATTTGGAGGAGGGTGTTCGGGGGGCTGGCCCCAGGCGCAGCACTGGGGAGCCGTTGTTGACCCAGGAAGGGACATTTCTGTGGGGAGGTGGGCAAGGTGGACACCAGGCACCAGGTAAAGGACAAGGACATAGCATTGTTGTCCCTTGCAGTAGGGGAGATTTTAGGAAGCCAGGGAAGGCGGGGGTTGGCCCAGCAGTTTAGGGGAGCACAGAAAGGAACACAGGGAGGATGCGGTCCTCCCCATTCCACCAGGCAGAGTCCCACTGTTTGGGACACAGGGATGATGGGAGGGACTCTGGGCTCTACTCAGCTACTTTCTAGGTGAGAGCCTCTGGCCTCCCATTTGGGCCCCATTCCTGGAGTGGGAAGCAGGGAGGACAATGCTCAAGGCTGATTTACAGTTCAAATGAATGTGAACAGGGGAGCAGGTGGCAAAGTCAGGTGAAAGTGCCTTTTGAGTGCAGGGATTGCTGTTGACAGAATTATAATTAGCATTTAGAGTTTGGTAACAGGAGCCTTAGTACAGGTTGGACTGGCTCTGGACAATGCACAATGAACCCAGGGCATTGTCTGAAGTGTCTGTGTTTGGATAGGGCAGTGGGTAATACCGAAGGAAGATGCTTAAGAGGAGCACAGAATCAGCAGGGGCAGAGGACGGGACAGGTCTGGGCAGCCCTCCGGGGTGTCTACCCCGCACAGTCACCTTCCTGGCTGGCCACTGCCATCTCTGTGGCTTCCTTCCTGCCCTCTCCTGAGGTCCAGTGTGCTGAGAGGAAGTGGAGGCCCACAGCCAGGATGCACAGGACAGGGAGTGCCAGGCCCTTGTGTCTCGGCAGGGCTGGGGACTGCCGGCTACTCCCACCCGCCTCCAGCACTCCTGCCCACCAGTTCCCTTCCCTCCCGGGGCCCGCCCTGGCCGCCCCGGCCATGCTCTTACTTGTCCAGCGCCGAGCCCTGGCTCTGATTACTGGTAAGGCGAGAGAAGACATTGCGGTCGTTGCGAGGCCGGGTGGGAGGGGATGAGGGAGGCGTGAATCCCACGTCTGCGGACCTGGGCAGTGGGGACAGAGAGAGTGTCTGTGAGTGACCACAGGTCTGCCCGCAGACCCACACTGGTGCTGGGTCAGCACCTTCCTTCTCAGCCGTAAGGCCCATGAGGCCAGGCCCAGGGTGCAGCTTCTGAGCTCAGGCCCCAGCCCAGCTCCTAGACCCTCTTCTTAATCTGTACTCACATTCATAGATTCTGTATTTGGGAATTTATCTGCCCACTGAAGGTCCTACAGTCAATACTGCTGGTGCTTTTTTGTACCATTCCTGGACTTGTGTAGAAAAATCTGAGTCACTCTATACACATTTCTTGCCGAGCTTATTTCAGCTCTGAAACTGGAAACAAGTGTCCCATTCATGGACAATTTAGTGCCATCTTCTATTACATTTTTGTGCTTTTTGATGGTGGTTTCGATTTTGAAATGGCCCCCAAGCATGGTGCTGAAGTACAGCTGGGTTGGCGATGTTGCCCAGTAGCAGAGCGCTTGCCTATCTTGCTCAAGGCCCTGGCTTCAATCCCCAGCACCGCACAAGTAAGTGAATAAATAAAATTTGCTGGCAGCACCTCTGTAAGCCCCGCACTCTAGAAGGCTAGGACAGGAAGATAGCAAGTTTCAGATTTGCCTGGACAACTCAGTGAGATTTTGTTTTAAAATAAAAATTAAAAAAGGGTGAAAGATGTGGTTCAGTGCTAAGATTCTTAGTCCAATCAACAGTACTGCAAATAAGTAAGCAAATACTCCCAGATTCCGCTCTCTGAAAGCTGTCATTAGGTTCAGCCAAACCCTCCCTCCCTTTCCAGAGCCATCATGGGTTCCATCCAAACCTTCGGGCCGAAACTTAAGTACGTTCTCTGAGTTCACAGTGAAGCAACAGTCTGAAGCACAATGTACACAAACAGCCTTTCAGCTCCTCCCTACCAAGACCCCTTTGCAAACCAGGTCAAGGGTGTCTGCCCAGGCTCTGGAGAGGAAGGAAGGCTGAGAGCTGGAGCTGCTTCCCTCCAGGGCAGATAACAAGAGGTCAAACTGAGCTCTGCTTCCCCAGGGTAGCTGTGTGACCTGAGGAAGGCCATCAAACCCCTGAGAACTAAGTGCATGACCAGAGGACGTCACAGTCACCCTGTCATCAGCAGAAGCTCCGTGTGTGCCTGATCAATGGAGACTTTGCTGCTCTGCCCTGACCTCTCTGGTTCTTTTGAGTTTCTACATTCCTTTCAAAACGTGAGGACTTAAAGGGAGAAGCTCCCAAGGACCCATGGTCATGAAAAGGGGCCGAAGAACAATGGCCAATTAAGCTACTACAAAGCAGTCCACACTGAACATGTACCAGCATATAGGCTTTGGCACATGGCTTGGCTACAGGTGCCTAATAAAGATTGTCTTCCCTGAGCCCAGCCCTGATGGGGAAGAAGGGACCATGTGCAAAGCTGAGTGACTCGGGCTGGCGGCCCAGATTAGAAAGGGTACATAATGAACTACAGAGCAGAACCTCACCACCACACTCATCCAAGGACTAGACTACAGCAGTGACTCGAGAAGATTCTGGAACATGCTCTCACCTGATAGGCTGCCCTCGGTCATATGACTTCCTCCGGGTCAAAGGGGAAGTCTCCGAGCCTCGAGACTGCCGAGGGCTGAAACACAAGGATCCAGTGAGGCCCAAACCCTACTCCCTGCCCCTCTCCTCCCAACCCTGTAGTCCTGCCCACCCTTCTTACAAAGTGCTGCCCCGGGTGGGCAGGCTGACAGTGCGTGACACCTTGTCCCGGTAGTAGGGGTCACGGATGGAAAAGCCCACCCCATCTTCTTTGATCTCGACAAGGGAGGCCAGGGACTTGGTGATGTTCTTGGTGGAGATGTCCAGTGGGGGTCCCAGGCACTCGGCCGACACAGCCTTCATCTGAGCAGACAGCTTGGGCTCCCCCTGAGGACAGAAGGACAGATGGACCAACTTGCCCAAAGGGGACAGTACATAATGGGGAGCCAGGAGTCCTACCTAGGGAGGGAAATGGTGCCTTTTGGCCTAAGGAGAAGGAGCCTATGGAAGGATCCAGCAGCCATGACTGAGAGACCGTCTTCTGTGTGCCAATCCACAGAAACTGAGCTTGCTTTATTGCCCTCAGTTGGACTGTGCAAAACAGAATCCCCACATGGCCCTCTTCACTGGTTACCAGCTAATCACTTTGCCTAAAACTATGCATAATTCACTGCTCTCAGCCTGCAGTTCTCCCCTCCTCTTTTTGAAAACTCTTGGGTCTTGGTTCAGTCTAATAACTGGTCCCTTGCTGTCCAGTAAACTCCCTTATTGTTGACTCCCATCCTGTTTTTTTTTTTTTTTTT